TATTTATTCCTGGGTATCAGAAAAGTACCTGAAAGAGAAGTAGGGGTGCTTCACTGGGCTGGAAAAAGTTTAGCTAAATCAGAAAGCATGTCTAATTAAACAAGTTTATTCTATACCTATAAAAGGCTAAGTTGTCTTGCTCTAAGTTGACTTATAAAGCTATCGCTGGCGCAAATCACACACATGTGTTAGATCTGTCATTGTCAATCATGAATTTGGTTGACACTTCTATTATAGAGAAAGGGCGAATAGCAATATTAAAATATTTCTTCTAATTAATTTCCTTTCAATGTGCACAAATTTGTGTACTGGGCCACTAGTTTGCATATAAGATCTTTGATTAATCTCTTCCCGCCGCCCCCACCACCCTTCCCTCTGAGATTCTTCAGTTTGTTTCATGTTTTCATGCCTTTGATTCTATTTTGTTCATCAGTTTTTTTGTTCATTAGATTTCTTGTTCGCTTATTTTGGTTTTTAGAGTCAGTTGTTGATAGTTATGTATTTATAGCCATTTTATTGTTCATATTTTTTACTAGAGGAGTGATGCATGAAAATTGTGCAAGAGTAGGACTTTGCAGCGAGTCTGCCTTGATCCCTCCCTCACAGCGACAGCTGGCTGCCTGCGTTCCACCCTCGCAGCTGCGGCCGGCTGCCTGGGTCCATCCCTCCAGGTGCAGCCAACTGCCTGGGTCCCTCCCTCGCAGCCGTGGTGGCTACAGCCCCGGCTTCGTCCGGAAGGACGTCCAGTCTATGGACATTACGCTTTTATTATTATAGATCTTTCTTTTTCTCCTCCTCCCTTTTCTCCTCCCTCTCCCCCTTCTCCTCTTCTTCCTCCTTCTATACACTTCAACATTTCATGTAATACTGGTTTGGTGGTGATGCAGTACTTTAGCTTTTTGTTGGCAGTGAAGTTCTTTATCTGACCTTGAATTCTAAATGATAGCTTTGCTGGGTAGAGTAATCTTGGTTGTAGGTTCTTGCTATTCATCACTTTGAATATGTCTTGCCAATCTCTTCTGCTCTATAAAGTTTCTGTTGAGAAATCAGCTGACAGTCATATGGGAGCTCTCTTGTAGGTTACTAACTGCTTTTTCTTTCTGCTTTTAAGATTCTCTCTTTGTCTTTAACTGTTGGCATTTTCATTATGTGTCTTGGTGTGAGCCTCTGGGTTGTTTGAGACTCTCTATGCTTCCTGGACTTGTAAATCTATTTCTATTACCAGGCAGGGGAAATTTTCTGTCATTATTTCTTCAAATAGGTTTTTAATATCTTGCTCTCTCTCTTTTTTCCTTCTGGCACTCCCATGATGCGAATGCTGGTATTTTGAAGTTATCTCAGAGGCTCCTTACACTGTCTTCATATTTTTGGATTCTTTTTTTCTTTTTGCTCTTCTGATTGGGTGTCTTTTGCTTCCTCATATTCCAAATCATTGATTTGATTCTTGGAATCCTCTGCTGTTGAGTTCCTGTAAATTATTCTTTTTGTCCGTTAGTGGATGTGTAGAGTTGTAATCTGCTATGGTCTGAAGCTCTCCACCAGGTGCACTAGCTCTGGAGTCTCTGGGTAGGTGCAAAGTCAGTCATTGCCTGGGGCCATCCGTCAGGAGCTTCAGAGAGATCGGCAGATGGCTGCTACTTGTTTTGGTCTAGGGAGTGCCCAGGGTAGGCTCAGCTGTGAATCAAGGCAGGCTGGTGCTAGTGCTAGGTCTTTAGCTTTTTATCGATAGCTTTGGGGCATGCTGACCCCAGATACTGCTTGTTTGAGAGATTTTTAGCCAAGTCTGAATCCTGAGCCAGGACAGGCCATTTATATGGAAACTAGAGGCCTGGTGCACAAAAATTTGTGCACTCGGGGGTGAGGGTGGGGGGGTCCCTCAGCCCGGCCTGTGCCCTCTCGCCGC